TCTCTCTCTCTCTCTCTCTCTCTCTCTCTCCCCCTCCCTCCCTCAGCAGACACAGAACATGCCTGCCCCTCCCCAGCCCAGCCTCTTTCAATACTTTCCAAAGATCAAGTTTCCTTTCTAGGGTCAAGGTATGGGAGGGAAGTAGCACCCTAATTTCCTAAGCACCAGCCAGTGTCTCTCCTTGATTCTAGAAAGAGAGGGGAAAAGCTGAGTACGCCCAGTAAATGATGAGTGGCCAGTGGGGCTTGCGGGTTGCTTATTTCATCTTTGTTTTTTCTTGGACAAGTTCACGAGCCCAGCCTTGTCCTTTGGTAAGCTCTAGCACAAGCCTGCCTGGGAGCCTTGCCTGCCCAGGCGGTCACCTTCAAGTCCCTTCTTTAATTAGAGAACAGAGCCCAGTTCCACACTCAAGAGAGATCTGGAAGTCACAGCTGTCCCTGCCTCCAACTACATCATGGAGGCCCTGAGTTTGGTTCCCGGGAAAAATGGAGCTGGGGAGAGTTAGGGAGCAAGGACAGGGTAGACCAGTCTTCCCCAGTAAGAAAGGAGCTTGGTGGTTCTGGCTGGTTTTCTCTGCAAACCAGAACCCCAGCCTCAAGCTGCTGAGAGGCACCTAGCCAGTCAGCACACGGGCCGCACACGCTCATGCACAGCAGAGACATGGCACAGCGTGAGAGCGGTGCGTGGATACACAGAGAGAAACACACACACACCACAACGGCAGATGGAGAAGGCAGCCTGGACTGGGCCCGGGGATTCATGATTCCCCACCCACGCAGAGGGGCTGGCGCACTTACGTAATGCAAGCTGCAAAGCGGGAGCCTGAACTCGCTAACCACCCCCTCGGGGGATCCGGGAGGTAGCACCTCCTTCTGGGGGGTGTCTCTGCACCCACCTCCCATCTCAGAGGCAGCAGGGTTTTGTCAGCTGCCTTGGCCCTGGAGTGACCCCAGGAAGTCACTAAAAGGGAAACCAGGGAGTGTCACTTTGCTGGTAGTGGCAGATGGGAGTTCCCTCCTTGTGCTGAAGCGTGATGAAGATGCTGGCAAGATAGGTTGCTGGGATTGGGACAGGGCTGGATTTGAGCTGGGGAGTTAGGAAAAGAGATGGAAGGGTTCTCGGCTGCCCCCCACCCACAGCCATCCCACCTACAACTCACAGATCACCTGCCCCAACCCAGACAGGTAAGGCACTCTTATGTAGCTACACACTTACACAGCCCCCTGCCTACTCCCACAGGTGCCCACACACCCACATCTGGGCCACAGCGCCCCCACCTGGGCACGTGTCAACCTTTGGTACCCCACCACACCCGGTCTCCCCAAGCCTAAGGGAGTTGGTAACTTGGAAATTGCCAGCAAGATTTACATTTCAGGGAGCAAAGTTGGAAGTTGAAAAAACGACTATAACATAAGTTTAAAAGCTCAGACTTAAGAGTGGAGCAGAGCTGTGTTCAAGTCCTCCCCCTGCCATTACTGTCTACGTGACGTTGGATGAGTTACTGAACTTTCCGAAGCTTCGATCTCTTTGTCGATTACAGGTGTTATCAAAGGGGCAAGGATTAAAGGAGGAAGTAACACATAAAGAGCTTAGAGCTTGGCATATAGTAAATACTCAATAAATGTCTGCTGTATTTAGTATATAGTTAGATCTACTTCTGAAAATCAGCCAGTGAAACCCCTTTGGATCACAATGGTCCAATGTGCAACCGATCATGGGGCTGGTACAGGTATGGGCAGCATTTTCTCCCATTGTGCATGAGGTCACCGTCAGTCGGGGGCTAACTGGATGGCAGCTAATAACAATACCAAATATTTAGTCTTTAGGCATTTTTCATCTTCTTTCAACAAACAGTCATCAAGCACCTGCTATACCCTGTGATGACCCTAGAGGTACAGAGTCCACTACTGATGTTTCTCCATGAGGGCTTCACATGGTCTGTGGACCACAAGTGTCCTCCAGGTTCTTTTGTAGACCCATCTCTTGTGGTATTTATAATGTTTGCAATGTGACCAAGGTTCTCCTTTTAAAGCTGGAACAAGTACAAAAATGGCATGTACAAGCCAGTTGGCTTCCCGCATTGGCAGTTCCGTGAAAGACAGCCTCATTCCCATTGCAGTGGGTTTTGTCGCCAGGGCTTTGGGAATGGCTGGAGTGGAAATTCCAAAAGTCCGTGCCAGCTGAGCTTCTGATCTGTGAATGGGGGATGTTTGCAAAACACACAGAGCAAGATGAAGTGGTGAGTTCTAGGGATGGGAAAGACATAAGAGGGGTCTTATGATTCTTGCCATTTGATTTCTGAGCCTGTCTGCCACTGGTTTCCCTGGGAGACCCTTTGGTCCTGGGGAGCTTTGATCATGGAGGTGAAACTAATGGGGAAATGTATACCCCTTTAAGAGAGAAGGAGTTGACTTTCTAGGTTGGCTTCAAAAGTCTGGAGGGTCTTATAGCTAGACTTCTAAGTTGGCTGCATTTTCCATCTTCGTTTTGAAGGTGGTGTTGGGCGCTCCATATCAATCTCTCCTTTTTTCTTCTTTTCATCCCCTCCCTTCTTCCTTCTCTTCAGCTCAAGAGGCCCTAGATCTGACCTGCATCTAATGAGCTGGCAACCACCATGCCCAGAGAATAGACTGCATCTAACGTGCATCACCTCTAGAAACCTCTAGACCCATCTGCCAGACACTGCTCCCCCACATTCTACTGGACGTGTCATTTAGGGACACGTGCCCTGCTTCTCTTGACGTCCACCTGGTCAACCATCATTTCCTTAGAGAACAAGGAGGGAGGCAGATGCACAGAATCATGCCACCGACGGCCAGACAGCAATGAGTGGGTGACGTCAAGTTGACGTCAGAGCCAGAGAAGACCGAAGCCCAAGACCAGCTCGGCTGTACAGCTCCCCCAGTCTCTGCAGCACCATCTCTCCAGCTCCTCCACTGGATAGAGCCTGAAGACTGACTCTTCCTAGGAAAATCATCTTGACTTGATCCACTCGTGGTCTTCAGACAGGACCCTTGGAAGCTGGGCACCATGGAGGAGCCTATGTTCAGTGTCCAGCAAATCCAACCCAACGTCATTTCTGTCCGCCTCTTCAAGCGCAAAGTGGGAGGCCTGGGCTTCCTGGTGAAGGAGCGGGTCACCAAGCCCCCCGTGATTATTTCCGACCTGATTCGAGGGGGTGCTGCGGAGCAGAGTGGCCTCATCCAGGCTGGAGACATCATCCTGGCGGTCAACGGGCGGCCCTTGGTGGACCTGACCTATGACAGTGCCCTGGAGGTGCTCAGGGGCGTTGCCTCCGAGACCCATGTGGTCCTCATTCTGAGGGGCCCTGAGGGCTTCACCACGCACCTGGAGACTACCTTCACTGGGGATGGGACTCCCAAGACCATCCGGGTAACACGGCCCCTGGGTCCCTCCACCAAAGCCGTCGATCTGTCCCACCAGCCATCAGCCAACAAAGAGAAGCCACTGGCAGTGGATGGGGCCATGGGTCCTGGGAATGGGCCTCAGCGTGCCCAAGACAACAGACAGGAAGCCGACTCACTCTCCCACGCCAGTGGCCTGGCCCCCAGGCCCCTGAGCGAGGACCCTGCCAAGAAAAGTGCAGGTGCTGGCCTCCAAGGAGGTGGGGAGAACAATGACCTGCTCAAGGAGATAGAGCCTGTGCTCAACCTTCTCACCAGTGGGGGCAAAGGGATCCACGGAGGAAGACCTGCCAAGGTGGAGACAAAAGACGCAGAAATCCAGGTGGACAGGTAAGACCACACCTCTGTGTATGTGTGTGCATGTGTGCACGTGTGTGCGCTGCAGCTCAACCCCACAGCCCGAAGCCAACCTGAGCGCCCTCAGGCATCTGCACACCACGTCCACTCGGCTACCTTTGCCTCCTTCCCTTAGAATTGCAATCGGCATGACTTCTAGGGTGTGTCTCTTGCCATGAAACCCAGAGCTAATAATCATGGTGGCAAACGTTACGTCTTTGTGTCTTTATCCCATACAGTCTTCCAGACACTCTCCAGGGTGGGCGTTTTTGCGATGCAATTTGTGTTTCCCAAATGAGAAGACTGGGGTTCGGGGGGGAGAGGAGGGGCCTTTCCAGGGGCCACCCAGTGAGTGAGGGGCAGTTGTGCATGGCCAGCTCAGGCTTGTGGGTTATGCCCCAAGCCTGGGAAGAGCAAGGTGGAAGAGCTGAGCCCTGGGCCACCCTCAGCCTAAACCAGCTTTCTCCTCACAACCAGCCGGGGACAAGGAAGGTTCTGATGGGGAGAAACAGAATCAAAGTATAGAAGTGGCCCCAACTCCCAGAAACAGCAGTCTTGCTTGGATTATGTGGGAGCTAAGGCTAGAACTTGAAGAACTGGGTACCAGCCCCTCTGTGTCTTCCAGGCTGGCATTTTCTGATTATGTGGGGGAGAAGAGCTGGCAACATAGTGGGTGATGCCAGCTCCTTCTCTGGGGAGAAATCAGCAGCAGGATCTGGTGGTTGGAGAATAGCAGGTCAGGAGATGAGAGAGACAGACAGACATTGATCGATTCCTCTCTGCCCCCTTTCACTCTCACCTTTGATCTGGCACTGACTCTCCAGCGGCTGTTGCTGCGAGGGTGGATCTAGGACCCTTCTTATCTAGGGCTTAGGTCTGGGGCCACCCAGATGTCCAGGCCAAGACTGCCCACACCCTTCCCCAAGAACCCCCTGAGTGCCCCAAGACCATCTAGTGGTCTCCAGGAAGCCCTGCAGGGGCCTGGATTAAAGTAAATCTCCAGGCCCTGCCTTCATTCATTTAACAGATGTTCGTTGGGGACCTACTGTGTGCCAAGCACTGTTCTGAGCACTAGGAATGCAGCAGTGAATGAAACAGGCAAAGATCCCTGACTTTGAGGAGTTTACAGTGTAGTGAGGAAGACAGATGGACAACAAACAAGATCTCAAAAAAACAAACAAACCAACGAACCTATTGCGGTCAAGTCAATTTTTACTCACAGTGACCCTATAGGACAGAGCAGAACTGCCCCATAGGGTTTCCAAGGAGTGGCTGGTGGAACTGCCAACCCTTTGGTTAGCAGCTGGGCCCTTAACCACTACACCACCAGGGCTCCACAAGCAAGATGAATATGTAAAATATGTAGCACGTTAGTGATGTGTGCTAAGGAGAGAACAAAGCTGGGAGAGGGAGTGTTGGGAGGGTAAGATTTTAGATAGGAAGGCTAGGGCAGGTCTCACTAGGAAGGTGACATTTAAAGACCTTTAGGAAGGGAGAGGGGAGTGAGCTTCGTAGCTTTCTGGGGAAAGAGCATTCCAAACAGAGGGACAGGAAGTGCAAAGGCCCTGAGGCAGGACAGCACCTGGCATATGTGAGGAATTGAATGGGATCCATTCCTCCCTCCTGATGGGGCAGCCTTCAAAATGCCCTTTGGCAGGCCCCTCAGTCCCTGGCAGCCCACCTTTGCCCACCATTGCATCCTGGAGTTTTCCCAACTTCCCACACCTGGGCCAAACTGAGCCAGTTCCAGCAAGACCCCTGAGCCCCCCAGGTAGGAGGATGGAGGCTCCATCTGGAAGTCCCTGGGCAGAAGGGAAGTGAGAATCTCTCACTGCCCTTTGAGACCCTGCCCTCCAACCCACTCCTTCTCTCTTCTGCAAGTTCTCCTGGGGACCCTGGAGGGTCACCTGCACCTTTGGGCTATGTCTCCAGGAGAAGAGGAGTAGAATGTTGGCCTCCAGTGCACAACAGGGCTTGGTGTGAACCTCCTGATGGGCCAGGAAGCAGAGCTGGGGCACAGGACCTGTCCTCAGCATTCTCCCAGCTGGCAGAGATCTGGGGCCTGGTTCACCCAGGACCTACATGGTCGGCCTCGCAGGCTGGAACCCAGTCATCAGGGGAACAGCCTCCCCCAGGGGTCCCTAGCTGAGGGCATGTCTAGACCTTGGAGCATCTTCTGAGCCTCCCACATGTCCCAGCATCATCTTCAGTTAGCTTAAATTCTAAAGTGGCTTTAAAAAACCAAACCAAACCAGTTGCCATCAAATCAATTCCTCCTCAGGGTGATCCCATGTGTGTCAGAGTAGAATTGCACTCCATAGGGTTTTCTTAGCTGTAACTTTTATGGAAGCAGATTGCCAGACCTTTCTTCCGAGGCACCTCTATGTGGGTTCGAACTGACAACCTTTTAGGTTAATAGTTGAGTGCAAACCATTTGTGCCACCTAGGGACATATAAAAAATGGCTTTAGAATCCAGAATAAATGACGTCGGTCTTATTTCCGAGGAGGTGTTGAAAACTACCCATCCTCAAAGACTACCCCTGGTATGACCTCTCCCTCCCAAGCCTGTCCGTCCCTCGCTATTCCTCAACACCACCTCACCCAAGATGAGCCCGAGGACGCTGAATGGGGGCCCCTGTCTTACATTAGGAGCCCTGGTGGTGCAGTGGTTAAAAGCTGGGCTGCTAACCAAAAGGTCAGCAGTTCAAATCCACCAGCTGCTCCTTGGAAACCCTATGAGGCAATTCTGCTCTGCCCTATAGGGTCGCCATGAGTTGGAATCGACTCGATGGCAATGGGTATGGTGTGGTATGTCTTACCTTATGTAGGCGGAGTCCTCTCCCCGTGACTGTATCTAATGTTCCACACACTTAGTTCCGATTCTCCACTGGGCACGGGGTGGTGAGTGTCAGACTTCCCAGGGCTCTATTTTACTCATACCGCCCACCACCCTGGGAATCTGAATCTCCACATGGGATGTGGAAAAGTCCCCCAGAGGGTCCCAATGCACCCCTCCCTGCCACAGTTATGAGTGGGGGGACCGTCTCTCCCAGGTGACAGTTTGGGACATGGAGATGTGGTCCGGGACACTAGGCTTGGATGTGATTGTAGAATGTAAAGGACTGTAATGGGAATCCTCTTGGTAACCCAGCCCTGGGAGACCTCTCCAAAAACTGTTGCAGGGAAGTGTCTCCTGCCTTTGTTTCCCCCACAGATGGGAGAAGGACAAGCAGGTGTAACAAGGGGTCCTTCTCTGGCAGGCCTATTTTCCCAGCTCAGGGGGCTTCCTCCAAGCTCTCTGCCTGCCCTTACCCATCACAGTCCCCCCTCGAATGACCCTGTCTCAACTTGCATATGATGCAGTAGTTTGACCAAAAGCAGCAGAAAAAACTGCTTCAGAGAAGGTAAGGCTTGGAAGAAATTAACAGGCACACTGAGGTGAGTGGCCGTCAAGATTGGTACTATTGTATAATAACCCATTGGTTGCCATCTGTGTCAGACCTAAAGCCCCCTCCCCCCTCCACTTTTTAACAAATATATCAAAACGCCCCCTTTACTAATTGAAGTTCCTGGGTCGTGCAACCAGTTAAGGTGCTCAGCTGCTAACCGAAAGGTGAAAGATTCAAGTCCACCCAGAGGTGCCTCGGAAGAAAGGCCTGGCAATTTACTTCCAAAAATTTAGTCATTGAAAGCCTATGGAGCACAGGTATACTTGGACACACATGAAGTCACCATGAGTCAGAATCGACTCAGCAACCGCAGCAGCACCCCCATATCCACAGGGATACATTCCAGAACCTCCCATGGTTGCCTGAAACCGCAGGTAGTACCGAACCCTGTATATACTATGATTTGTCCTGTACATACATACGTATGATAAAGTTTAGTTTATAAATTAGACACAGAGATTGGCAACAATAACTAACATTAAAACAAAACAATTATAACAGTATACTGTAATAAAACTTACGTGAATGACGGAACGAGACGGCGTGAGATTTCATCATGCCACATACTCATTTAACATTTTCCAATGGCTGTTGACCGCGGGTAACCGAAACCGCAGAAAGCGAAACCGCGGATAAGGGAGGAAGGTTCATGTGATTTTTTTTTCTTTTTTTCCCAATTGGAAGTTGATTCATGGATACTTTAACATAGCTACACTTAAATTTTTAAAATCGGTATGAGGCCGTAACAGTAAATGAAGGAGATGTAACATAAAAGTAATTTCTAATACAGTGACACGTATTTTGTTATACCGATGTTCAGGCATGACTACACTGAAAGGGTCAGACGTTTGCGCCTGAACATAGAATCACTGTGAACATGACGGTGTCAGATGCAGACTAACACAGGTGTGTTTTGGCATCTCCAATGCCATCAGCAGCATCACCTTGGGGATGTGATTTTCTGTAGACCCCTGCTAGAACGAAGTTTTATCATTCCTTGACTTATCCAGTAGTCACTTGCATGGAAAGTTCAGTGTATTTTAAAGCCATGCTTTTGTGTAAGACAGAGTCAGGATCTTGGCTCAGGAATTTAAAGCATGCGTTTTATATACTAGTTGCTGTTGAGTTGAACTGTGCCCCGTATGGTTTTCAGTGGCTGATTTTTTAGAAGCAGATTGCTAGGCTTTTCTTCCAAGGTACTCACTGGAAGTTCAAGTCCACCTAGAGGTGCCTCAGAAGAAAGTCCTGGCGATCTACTTCTGAAAAATCAGACATTGAAAACCCTATGGAGTGCAGTTCTACTGTGACACACATGGGGTTGCCATGAGTCAGAGTCGGTTTGACAGCAACTGGTTGATTTTTATATACGTGAATGTCCAAAGATTATATGGCTGTCTGGATTGTTCTTGTCGTGTGGGTTTGCCCCTTACATTGTAAGATGTCCCCAACCCTTGATACTCCCTCCCTCCCTCTACAATGTCTCTATCATTGGAAGAACAAAAACTGCTCCTTCGAATTGCCACATGCCTCTTAGGGGCTGAAAT